CTCGTCTCCGCCTCTTGCACAGGCGTAGCTGCGGTTACGGCGGCCCAATCGATGGTACGCCAATCGGTGAGTTCGGTCTCCTTGATATTATTCTGTAAAGGCCCAGGTGGGCTGTCCGCATTCCCCATATTCGATGGCGGTGCGTCAAGGTACGGCCCGAGTCTGTGGAAGATAGTTCAAGTATAAGCAAGAGACCGACTGGGCTTAATATGGGTATAGTGATCTAACCTGAGATGAACAATTCTGCTCCATAGATGCCGGACGGATTCATCAAGCTTGTAAATGACCCACCCACAGGCGCTCATTCTTTTGAGAAGCGCCTCTGCAGACTCGATGTTGAACTCGGCGCATGCTAATGACGACTGCTGAACGAACCATACACTCTCTGCCGAGCAGTCGGCTGAAATAGATCCAATGGTCAAAATCCACAGAAGCAAATCTGGACACGACTGCCATTCTGCGCGAGTAGTGCAGTTGAGCGCACTCTCCAATCTCTTGCTTGCGGTGAAATGTAGTTGATGAATGTCTGACGGTCTTTTAAGCGCTTCAGTCGTTCGTACCGTAAATATGATCAACGCAACGCAAAGAGCGTCTTCGAGGGGCGTGATAAGTGATACCCTTTCGTGAATCCAAGCAAGGAGCAAACATTCGAGCGAACACGAGAAGTTCTGGACATTCAGAGCGTCAAGCGAGCTCTCCGGGTCATCATACCATGCGTTTAGATCGGCTGCAAGTACCAATACAGACTCCAGTAACTCGACAAGAGACTCTGTGAGACCTGCTTCCAAGCACAACTTGACAAGATACCTTGAGTAGCTCGGACTATAGCCTGGTGGATGATGAGGAAAGTTCGCGGCGCGAACGTATGCCAAAGTTGCGGGGTAGGGTGGGTTGAACTGTGCGATGGCATGAGCTGTAGTATGCCTGATGCTCAGTAAGCATTTGCCAACCCATTTCGGGCCACGATGCCAAAGTGAGGTGATACATACCAAAGTATAAAAGCTTGTAAAATGCGGTTCGTGCCGACAGCCTTCAGACCGCCGCGCAAATTGAGCATCTCTCGCAGGCCACTCAGATGCATATTCATAGCGTTCGGCTGTTCGTCGTATGCTATTTCGTCCTTGAACACGGGCATCATCAGACCCTCTTCCACAGTCAAGAGGTTAAACACAGCACCCAGAGTTGCGTCCGAGAAACGGACAGCACGGTCCTGCGTCGACAAAGCCTTGTGGACCGCTGAGATAGCCTTGGCGCGATGGTGAAGGATCGTCTGAACGGTACCCTTCCCGAAAATGAACATGTGTAAGGCAGCCGTACTCAGCAAGCTGTGCATGAAGCCTTCGTTACTTAAAGCAGTATCAAACCATTCTGACTTCATCAAGGTTGACTTGCGTCGAACGTCAACTCCAATCACACCAGGAACCATCTCATGGACAACTGCAGCAACACAGTCAGCAACACTAGCTCCATAGATTACGGAATGGGGTATGATCATTTCCACGCTCCCGCTTGAGCCTGTCCAAGCTCTGCTCTTGAGTGGTATACCGTAGGATCGGCGGTGTCAGCCTCCGTCTTCTTTGCATATGCTTTGGTAAAGTTGATGGGTAGACTTACAATGATCAAGCAGCTCTGACATTTCCTTGTCCAGTCTTAGAGCCGATGCCCTAAACGGATCCAGGGAACCATTATTGGGCTCTCTGACAGACCCAGTAGGCGATAGTAGGATGCATTTCGGGCACAGTGTCTGCCTGTGGCGAACGACAAAGATCTGACAATTCGAACATATGCCTCGATCGAACACGCCAGTACTTGTGTGCTCGACAGCAGGGAAGTAGCTGTTCTGGCCGTCTTCAAGAGTCGGGCTCGACGAAGCTGTACTGGGGTTCGACAGGGGGTTGGGAGTGCGAGTCCTCGAAGGGCTCGCACTGCCTTGGGCTCGTTGCTTTGCGGCTTGCTTGCTCGTGGACCATGGCCGCTCCCGTCTTGCCTTCTGCATCACAAATGAGCGAGCATTGCGCCGCCCTTGGCGTGAGGCCTTTGCTTCGGATGCATCGACGAACAGGAAGTCTTGTTGGATGGGCACGATCGGCTGGGAGCGATGCAGAGCCTTGGCATTTTGGTCCTGACCCTCCATCACACGTTTTGGGAAACAGGACCAGCAAGGTATAGTCTTGCTGACCCAATCTCGTGGGTTGTGGAGGTAATACTGCTCAGCAGGGCGCAGGAAAGCGTAAGGTGCAAGTGGTAACGAAGCCAAGATTTCGCAATCGAACCTCGCTCGCCACCATCGCTGCTCGAATGTCCCTGGACAGCGCCGGGCTGTGATCGCCTCGTACTGATGGTGTGCCTGGAAATTGTGGAGGGGCTGAAGCTGTGCAACTATCAAAGTCCAGATTAGTACTAGGTTGCTGAAGCGAGTACGGAGCTTGACAGGGTGCTAGGTCCTGACCTTGGACCCTTTGTTCCGTCACTATTCAATCGAAGCCGTACTTTTGGAGTCTTTGTTCCACCTTCAAAGCTGCTTGAGAGTGTCCGAGAAGCGGCGGGTGTGGCGAGTCACGGGTGTACGTAGATAACAGTCAAAGCTATGCGGGTCCCATGCCGAAGGTAACACAAATAGTATCGATATTGAGATGGCGTTCGACCGACGTGGAAATGGTGAAATGAACAGGTGCTTTCTGACTTTCGGCGTGCAGACTGAATGGGTCATGTCATCTTAAAAGCTTCAAAATCATCTGCTTAGCTCGAAGATGCAATGTCGAAAATCTTCTCCTCTTGCTGTACTACCTTCGGAGCGCGCGATTGCTGCAATGGGGCAACATTAGACTGGCCAACGACGGGGAACGTGACTGAGCGTCGCAGGGCTGAGTGCTGCAACCAAGGACTCAAGGTGGCTTCCAGTGCTTACCGGACCAGAGATGAGCAACCAAACTGTTGGCAATAGTCATCAACCCGTCGCATTGGCACGACACGTGCTTCGTTAGCGCCACGAGCGGTCCAAGTCGGTGTTTCGCGACTCTTGGTGTTTTGATACTGCTTGATGCGTCGAGATGCTGGACCGCCCTTCCCGAGGCTCGTTGACAAATGCGGCGGGATGGACGACATGACGCACTTTGGTGCCTTGCTACCGCCGCAACCTTAGCACAGCATTGAGTAAGAAACGCCTCGAATCTGAAGATTAGGAGGTTGCGCAGACCTCGAATTATGTAAGGAGAAATTGGCTCACGGAGTTGGGGTCCGGGTACTATTGGCAAGAGCACCTCGGTGGTTCCAGACGCGTTTCCTAGCTTCCGGAGTTCTGGCAACAACGACATGACGACGGGCGATGGTCTTGCAGAAGGTGAGTCGCGCATCGATCGACTGGAGGATGCAGTGGCGGCCTGCAGTGATGACAGTGTACTGATTATTCGCAGGCCTCTCGTACTTCACCACCGAGCTGCTCCGCAAAGAGCTACAGCGCCGCCAGGAGGAAGTCGAGAAACCGGAGTGCGGGTCGAAGGGTGGGAAAAAGCACTACAACACCGGTCTCCATGTATTCGCCTTGGTTCTTATCCTCGCCTTGAGCACGGCAGGTGCGTGTGGTTGCGGTGGATATTGCCGGCCGAGTAACTAATCTTCGCCAGCTTGCTCCTTCCCCATCGTCGTCAAGCGATTCCCTGGCATCCCCGTGCCCTCACGATTCCTCTTCCTTTCACGACACTTTGGCACCGGCGTGCTGATAGCGACCGCCTTCGTCCACCTTCTGCCCACCGCCTTCGAGTCCCTGACCGATCCATGTCTTCCACATTTTTGGAATCGAGGCTACCCGGCCATGCCGGGCTTCATAGCCATGACAGCCGTTTTCGTGGTCGTAGGCATCGAGATGTTCTTTGCTTCGAAGGGCGCTGTACATTCGCACGCAGTCGACTATGACACTCTTGGCCAGGACAGCCATGCACACGCCCGGCCCGGCCACAAGAGAAGCCACAGCTTTGGACGCTACAGCAGCGGTACCAATGGCAACGTGCCAGGCATCGTATTGCACGATGTAGACGTGGAGTCGTCTGAGCAGTCAGGTCTTATGGCAGGACGGTCCCCGGCTCTTTCCATGGTGTCTCCCACCACGCCGACCGCACCGAACGGTCACGCCGCCCGGCGAAGTATCGACAGCGATGACGACTCAGACCTGGACATCAGCCCTGAAGAGCTAGCTAGGCAGCAAGAGGAAGACGATTTGGAAGACGAGTCTCAGCTGCTGTCCCACCCACACGTGCACAAACGAATCCCTGACGCCCGCGACCCATCGCCCGAGACAGCTGAGAAGACAGAAGCGCAGAACAAGAAGCTGTTGCTGCAGTGTCTCTTGCTCGAGGCTGGAATCTTGTTCCACAGCGTGTTCATCGGTATGGCTTTGTCTGTAGCAACGGGGACCTCATTCATCGTGCTATTGGTGGCCATCTCATTCCACCAGACGTTCGAGGGCTTCGCGCTTGGTTCGCGTATCAGCGCTATTCGCTTCCCTGTAGGGTCGCCGAAGCCCTGGCTCATGGCACTGGCCTACGGTACAACCACGCCAGTTGGACAAGCAATTGGTCTCGCGATTCACACACTCTACGATCCATTCAGCCAGACTGGCCTGCTAATGGTGGGCTTCATGAACGCAATCTCGAGTGGCCTGTTGCTCTTTGCTGGCCTTGTCGAGCTTCTTGCAGAGGACTTCTTGAGCGACGAAAGCTACATCACACTGCAAGGCAAGAGGCGACTGCAAGCTTGCGGCAGTGTCGTTGCCGGAGCACTGCTCATGGCTCTAGTTGGTGCTTGGGCATAGCCTTGCGTCATTACTGAGTAATACATGTAGAGCCTCACGGCAATATCTAAGTACTTTCCACCCAACTGCTGCGTCCACACTCGCACGTTCAAGGAGCACCGTCACCTACCAACACAGCACAGTTCATGACATCTACTTCATAGCTCCTCTGTTCTTTGCAACCTCTATCAAAGCAACGACTGGCCCAGTCAAGTCCCCGATGGCGCAATCGGCAGCGCGTCTGACTGTTACATTATGGTCGCTCAAGGACCGCCAATCTTCGAGTGACTGTTCTGGCCGCACATCAGGAGGTTCTAAGTTCAAACCTTAGTCGGGGAGCATCTTTTACTTCTCATTCACCTTTGAACGGTGCAAAATCACGCTGCCTAGCTGGCTTTTGGATGTGCGAACCGTTTGCAAGCTACGTCTTGATCCACTTCGCATGCCAAGGCCGCACGATAGGTGAAGGCAAGAGCTACCTTAAAGCACAACTCTTCCCACACTCGCATGCCAAGTTAGGTGAGACATGCTCAAGCGGACTCTTAGACCTCGGGAGTGAACTTTGCTTCGCCAGACGGATTGCACATACAGAACAAACTACATCGCAAAGGCCAGCGAATTTGTCATGATCTACTTTTTTTTTGGCAGAAGCGAGAGCCACCATGCACTTGTCTTTTTCAATGAGCTCAATCTTTGAATCTTTCGCTTCCTCGCTCAGTACGCAAATCAGAAGGCTGCCTTCATCAAACGAATTCCACTCTGACTTGCTCGCCAACGTTCTCCTTGACTCACGCGGTAAAGCGCGCCTGATGCTCTTTGCTTGGATGCCTATCGCTATCTTTCCCACACCAGAAGGTCATGCTCCGAAGGCCCCGACAATCATCAAGCATCTTCCAAAACTTGATGTCATGCACAGCATCGCAACATGTAGCGATACTGCGAAGAGCACCTCGTTGCTCAGACGATAGCACTTGCAAGCACAGCGCTGCGGCGATTTTGCATGGACCATGGAGCTGGGGCTCGTTCAGACTGATCACCATGGATGCAGCCTCGGAGTAGATTTGGCGGCAGGTCATGGTGAGTGTGAGGAATGAAGCCACGGGCAGCCAGCTTTGGAACTCGTTCGCTTCGTCGAGATACGCGGCTACAATCTGACCCGTAAAGTAACTTTTCACAGCGACAGATATGCTGTAGCCGCCCAACGCGTGTTTGTATATCTTGTTGCGTAGCTCGGCGGGAGGGTGCAGAAGAGGGCATTGTTGCTGGTTCCGAAGGGTGCTGTCCATCATTAACGACAGGTTTCTGGCTAGTGGCTGGTACTTACATGGCGTTGAGGGATGACATCGCCATATCGTTCATGATTATTTTTGGTGGGATCAGGTCAGTTGTATAGGTGGAGGAGAAGTGAGCAAAGTGGTGAGTAGGAAAACAAGTGGACCCAAATCCAAGTGAAGACAGGCGGCTTGAGGAAGAAGGAAGTGCGCACGGCGCAACGTGCAAGAGCGAAGTAGGGCGTAGCGAGAGGTAAGCGTCTGCGTGACTTCTCCGGGCTGAAGTAAACACACTCAATGATCTGTATCCCTCCACGATGGCGAGTGAACGTGTGTCTCTAACATGAACTCTTCTTACCAGTCTTCAAGTCTTCAAAAGCGCTGTGAGTTCCCGCGCGGTTGTGCATACGTGAGTAGTTCCTTATCTTGTGCAAGCCGATCATGACAGCTTTTTTCCAAGCAAACGCACACCTCGATCCCTTCGTCAACTGCATTTCCCTTGACGTCCGCTCTGCTTGGATACACGAGAACATAGCCCTCAAACTGAGGATCAGGGAAGCGAATGGCTCTTGCAGTGCCAAACCCGAAATCGTGTTGTTCATATACATTCATGGCTTGCCAACTTGTTCCAGCTAGGTCCATACCTAAGAATGAACTCATGTTGATGTTGATCCATCGCCTGTCTTCCAACCCGGCGATCCACTCTCACTGGGGTACCGCTGCGGTGTTAAAGACACTGCTAAAGTAAGATTACACTGCACCTCTAGGTAAAATAGTCTATTTATACTATGTCTTTATAATTTTACCTAATTCCTAAGGTAATTTACCTGTCTTATGCGCAATATAAATATTAATATTAATATTAACGTGTTTCACAAGCGAGCGCCGCACCTAACTAAGCGCCGCACTTTTAACAGCAGAACGCCTGCGCAGCGCTATACTATAACATAACACTAATAAATAATTACTTACAGGCCTTAATATTATTATTTAGAAGCTTTGCTATTATCTGCGTCCTCTATTTCTACCTTATAGGTGCAGGAGTTGTGTCTAATTTTACTGCAACAACTGCAGCATTGCCCTGCACACACCCTCTTTATAGGTGTCTTACCCTTACTATAACCCCTAGCCTCCTTTTTAGTAATTAAGTTAGCTACCTCTCTAATTATAAGAGTCTCCTCTGCGCATATATAGTGTTGCTTATAGGTCTTATACTTAATAGACGCTTCTACAGTGTCTTAAAGGCAGCCTACTTCCTCCTGCAGCAACACTATATTATGCGCTATCTACTAAGCACCCTTACTTAACTATTTAACTTACTTATCTAATAAGCTTACTAGGGACCCTTAATAGATTTAAATCTACTTTTAAATTAGAGTTAACTACTCCTCTACTTTATAAGTATTATATAGTGTCTTTAGCTCCTAAGCAACATTACTAGGTTTTAGTAGTGTTAGCGTGTGTAAACGCACTGTTATGGGCTGAGCCCTAACTGTACAGGGCTACGTACAAGACTCGCTTACGTGACTTTATAAGCAAGGCTTAGCACCCCTTAATCTGTCTTATATAAGAGGAGCAAGTTATCTTCTCTATCTTTTAGCTTCTGTAGTATAGGACAAATGCATACTTATTAGAAGGCTACTTTAACCCTTAACATAAGCTAAAAAATTAAATCTATAAAAAGAATCCCCTGCAGTACCTATATAATAGAAGGGGAAGGACTTATAAATAAACAAGCAATTTAATAGTTATAGCACATGTATAAACACTAAGAACAACTTAACAAAATAATTAAATCCCTCTATATAAGCCTAAACAAAATAAGAGTCTAAGCGCAGATATAGTAGCAGTTGTACAACACCTTACGTAATAATACCTAACACAATAGAAGGAACACAATAATAGAGGAGAGTAAGGGAACTAGTGTTATGTAAGGGTATAATATATAAGAACCCTCTCCTATATAACCTATAAAAGTAAGACTTCCTAATATAGAAGTCTTTAAGGATAGTACACATAAACAGTAACGTGTTTCACAAGTGAGCGCCCCACCCAAGTGAGCGCCCCACGAACACCGCCAACACGACAGCGCAGCAACAACGCGTAATGTCTTAACAACAACACCTTAAGAAAACCTACTTAGAAGCTAACGTGCAGCTTACTATCTCTAACATTTAAACTTAGCAGATTAAAACCCTGCAACACGCCAAATTACTCTATAACGTGCCTTAGCATACAATACAGCAGCAACGCGCAAACACACTCCCCTAACGCGACTGCAAGCTGCTAGCAAAACGCCTTATAAAACTAGAAGAGGAGGCAGTTGTACTATATATACTTAAGGAGTCTAATTGGGGACTACCCTCCTTAAAGGCAGATATATAAGATATAGCAGATAAACTGCTAAGAGAGCGTGGCGCAAAGCCTGTTAGCAAGAACTAGGTTGACAACTTTATAAAGCGCACAGCAGATCTGCAGACGCAATAGACCTGACTATACGATCGCCAGCGAGCTGCCTGCGAGGACCTAGCGGTTATCTAGCCCTAGTTCACGCTTGTTTAGTCTATAAAGGCAAAATACAGTATTGCAGACAAGGATACATATAACTTTAATAAGTCTAGCTTTCTAATAGGCAAGATCTTATTACAACTAGTAGTAACAGGCTCAGAGAAGCCTAGGAAGTAGAAGAAACTCTAACCTAGTAATTATAAGTAGGCTACCCTAGTACAAGGCGTCAGGTCAACAGGGAAGGTTATCCTACTGTTCCTTATCCTAGCAGGCAAGGTTCTTATCTCTAACTAGTTTACTAAGGACCTCCTACAGGACTAGGTTATTAATATTAGTCCTACTAGCTGGACTAACAATAATCTGGCGCTTGCCTAGCTTTATTACTTTAATACGCATGCAGAGCCTGTTAGGGTCTACAGGCTACTTATTATTGATAGCTATAAGAGCTACTGCTTAGTAGATTTCTAGGATTTCTGCAAAGAGAAGAAGATAATTACTCTCTGTATGCCCCTGCACTTATCGCACCTATTGCAGCTACTTAATATTGCCTGCTTCTTGCCGCTAAAGCGCACGTATAGCAACAAGATCTCAGCCTTAGCACGCAGTTATATCTACTATATTAACAAGGAAACCTTCCTGCTAGCCTTTAAAGCAACTTTTAGTAAGGTGTTTACTGTAGAGAACGTCTGCGCAGGCTTTAGAGGTGCTAGGCTAGTCCTACATAACCTAGAGGTTGTGCTATTGAAGCTTAATGTGCGCCTGCGCACGCTAACGCTACTAAAACCTAGCGACGTTGCCTAGGAGCTAAAGACACTACGCAACGCTTATGAAGTAGAGGAGCAGTCAACTCTAATTTAAAAGCAAATTTAAATTTATTAAGGGTCTCTAGCAAGTTCCTTAGATAAGCAGGTTAGACAGTTGACAAAGGGCGCTTAGCAGATAGCTTATAATATGGTCTTAGTGCAGGAGGAAATAGGCTGCCTTTAAGATGCTGTAGAAGCAGCTACAAAGCGCAAGACCTAGAAGCAACGCTATATACGCGCAGAGGAGACCCTTACAGTTAGCGAAGTAGCTGACTTAGTTGCTAGAAAGGAGGGTAGGGGTTGTGGTAAGGGCGAGACGCCTGCAAAGAGGGTGCGTGGAGAACGACGCTGTGGGTGTTGTGGTGAGATTAGACATAACTCTTGCACTTGCAAAGTAGAAGTAGAGGACGCAGATAATAGCGAAGCTTCTGAATAATATTATCTAACTCTGCAAGTTGCAATTTATTGTTGCTGTGTTGCGATATAGCGTTGCGCTGTCGTGTCGGCGGTGTTCGTGGGGCGCTCACTTGGGTGGGGCGCTCACTTGTGAAACACGTTACCTGTCTTACACGCAATATAGATATTAATATTAATATTAACGTGGTTCATAAGCAAGCAGGCTACCTAAGCAAGTAGGCTACTTAACACTAGCAACACGCCTTTATAGTAATATTATGCAACACTATATAAACAAATTATAGGTTAGACAGAGTAGTAATATTATTTAAAAGATTTACTATTATTTATGTCCTCTATT